GGGGGGGCGGAGCCGGCTGGGGTTGCGAAGCCGGGGGAGGGGTGCGGTTTCGTGTGCGCTGCCGGGCTGCGCATGTGCGGGCTGTGTGAGTGCCGTTGCTTGCTTGAGCGAGCCTGGCACCTGGCAGCGCCCGAAGGCGCTTGCGGCCTGGGCGTTGGGAGGTCGTGGGTCACAACGTAAAGGCTTTCGTCTCTAAGCCAAGAACTTGATTTACCAGAGACAGTAATGACCCTACCCCCACGCGGCCCAATTTTGACATGTGCACACCTTAGTGTTTCCTGGCTAAAGTGAGGGACAGCGCTCTGCCTTCTCCAGCAAAGTTGGAGGAATGTGCAGAATGGCAGCTTCAAAAATGTCCCTCGGACACTGGATGCAGTGGATGCATCCACATGAGCGGGAACCTGTGGTTTCCCGGGGACAGGTGTTCCCCAGGGAACTGCCTTGCACAGGTGCTTTGGCAGGAGATGAGTTGCCCTGGTTGGGTTAGGGGAGGCTGTGGCCAGCACATGGGCTGGCCCCGGCAGCCTCACCTGGGGTCTTACTGGGGCTGCAACGGCAGTGACTGGGGCCCGTGGAGCCTAGCCAACAATCAAAGCATGGTTCTGGGTGCGGGTGGTGCAAGCTGCAGCCACATCTGCTGCCCCACTTTTTTCTGGTGTGGGTTTTTTTGACACCAGGATCTCCTGGTGTCAAAAAACCTGCCATGCTGGAAATTAGCTGTGCAGCAAGCGCCTGCATGTGCAGCACATGTGATATGTGGTGCTGCAAACCGCAAGTGTGCACTTGTGGGGATGCCAGTGGGTACGTCTACATGTGCGATGGATGCCAAGCAATAAGCTTTGATGCATATCACGCTGGAGTTTATTGCTCCTAGGCTCTGCATTTACATGTGTAGGTTTACACAAAACCGGCACCAGAAAAAAGCAGGACAACATGTTGAGCTGAGTCAAGCAACCCTGGCTGGCAGCAGGCCCGGAGAATCAGCCCATCTGCCTGGAGTTGCTCTGACCTGGCTCAGCATGCTGCGGAGGGGCTGGTTGGGGTACAAGGGTGCTTCAGTATGGAGTAGCCAGCAGGTAGCTGAAGTACCCTCTTGCCCAGGGGTGAGCAAAATACAGTCTGTGGGCTGGATGCAGCCCATGAAGGGGCTTTGTCCAGTCTGTGGCGGGTCCCTTGGTCCCACCTGGACCAAGCGCCACCTGGCTGTGGTGCATTCTGCTGCCTCCTGGGCATACAGTGGGGCCGGGTTATGAGTCAGGAGTGAGTGGCACCAGCAAGGCTGTGGGGTAGGGGGCTGCAGGTCTGAAGCAAGGAGCAACAACAGGTATGCAGGGGGCTGTAAATCAGGAGCAAAGGCCACGGGAGAAAGGATGGGTGACTGTGGGTTGGGTGTGCAGGGCACTGGCAGCACCAGGGGTTTGCAGGTCAAGAATGAGAGGCACCAGCAGGGTGGGGGTGGGGCAGGGTACTGCTGTTTGGGAGTGAGGGGACCTGGAAGGGCTGGGGTCAGTGCGTCTGGAGTGAGGGACAGCAGCAGGGATGGGGGGGAGGGGGCGGGGAGTGTGCCTTGTGAAAGACAACAGAATGGGCTGAGGCAGGGCACTAGCATGTCATTGCCGCCCCCACCATCATATTCCCCCTGTCTCCTGCCCCTCCCTTCACCCCTCTGCTTATGGCAGATATCCTCTTTTCTGCAACTGTAAATATTTTTTGGAACTGGGCCCTATTTCTAGGCAGCGCAGGGAGCAGCTGCTCCTTCCAGCTGCCATTGCTGTTGGCTCTAGCCCTGCGGTACTGGCAGAGACTCAGGCGTGAAGCCCCGACTTGGCGCACCCCAGGCCTGCTTTGAACTCACTCATCCAGGCTCAGCAGCAGCAGCAGTGGTGGTGCCAGGTAGAAACTGTTACTTGGCACATGGAAAAAGCAGCCTCTCCCCCTCACCACTATTGGGTAGTTCTTGGTACAGCCGCCCAAAGCCCGAGACATGCTGGGCTGCCCTGCATCACTACTACTTGGTCTACCCTGTGGCTGCTTTGCGCTGCCACTGCTGCTGTGCTGGGCAGCCCAGAGGCAGTGGGGATGGCGGTGGAGCTTTAGGGTAGGCCAGCATGGCACAGGCTCTGGGCGGCTGCACCAAGAACTGCCCAGCAGTGGCAAGGGGGAGGGACCACTTTTCCCCCATGCCAAGCATCAGTTTGTGCCTGGTGCCACTGCCACTGCCACTGCTGAGCCCGGACTGGTGAGTCTAGAGCAAGTATGGGGTGTGCTGGGTTTGGACTTCACACATGGATCCCTGCTGGTACCGTGGGGCTGGGGCCAGTGGCGGTGGCAGCCCAAAGTAGGCACTCCAGTCCTGCTGTGTGCCCAGGGGGTGGCAGGATGCACCACAGCCAGACAGTGAAGAGCAGGCACAGGGCAAGACAGGAGCTGTGCGCTGTTGGCGGTGGCGGGAAGGCGCTATAGGGTGTGCGGGCTCAGGGCTGCTGTGGGGTGGAGGCAGGGGCAGGTGCTGACTGGCTCAGGGGGGTGTGGGCTCCCATGCACACCCCACCATACCCTGAAACCCTCCCCCACAAACCCCACAACCACACCCTCCCCAACACACAATCACACACCCCACAAACACTGCACCCACCCACACACTCCCCCATCCCCCCTCACAAACCCAACACATACCCACATACCTCTGTGGGGAGCCCCACTCACTGCTATGCATGCACACCCCACCACACACACACATCCACATACACACAGCCCCAGTCACCCTTGCCCTCCACACACGCCACAGCTCCCCACATACCCATACCCACCCACACACATGCAAGCATCCCCATAAACCCCCCATA